CAGTGGGGAGGAGACAAGGGAGTTGGTCCTGTTGGTCCTGGATGTCCAACGGAGGGCTAATAGGCGTAAAGAACAGTTACGCAGTTACAGGAGATAATTGAACTCAGCTGGTGGTAATTAGGCTCCTCTCAAGACTATAAAAGGAATGACTTTCCACACGCTCGTCACAGGAATCAACGTATTTACTAGAGCTGGAGAAGCTATCGTGGCTAGCTTGGCAGGCTGGATTGCTGCCAAGGTTAGTCTGTTAGTCCCCGAGTCCCCCCAGGGAAAAGGGCGGCATACAAATTTCAATAAATGAAATGAAATGTGCTGGCTTGCTGCCAAGGTCTGGTCTGTGCTGGCTTGCTGCCAAGGTCTACTCTGTGTGTGGTTAAATCCTTGAAGTATCTTTGTCTCGGTGTGCTTTGGTGTATGAAGGGGGAGGTCAGAACAGGGAGGCATCTCCAGTTGGGATGGTTTCTGATTGGGCCATGTGACAGACATGTGAGTGCTGGGCAAGAGCTTGGACTTTCATTTGAGGGGGGGAAACCTGGAAGCTTTCCGATTCGGGTTTTCCAAGATGTGCCAATATAATATCGCTAATAAAATGGAACTTTAAGGAACTTCAGAATCTTCTTTCGTTGGGGGTTACCTGGAACCCTGACAAATACTTTGCTCGGATGATGTAACAAAGCAAGCTTGTTAAGGAAGGCCTTTACCATCCTCTTCCGATTAACGTACGACCTGCTTTGTTCTCTTGCAGAACGCCGAGATGTTGAGCAGCATGGATTCGGCCTCCATCCGAATCATCAAGCCTTTCCCCGTTGTGCCGCCGGCAAGTCGGCACCAGCCTTTGCAGACCATCGTGCCGGTGTCTGTGGCGGCAGCGCCCCCAAAACTGGATCACCAAAGAATGGACACCATCCAAGAGGATCCAAGCACAGACTCCCACATGGAGGAGGATTGCTTTGAGAAGGACCCTTTCCCCAACAACAGCACAGCTGCCAAATCGTTTGAAGACCTGACGGAGCATCCGGTCACCCGGAGCGAGAAAAACTCGTTCAAACTGCAGCGCCAACATAGAGTAGACAGCAAGGAAACCGAATGCTAGTCTCTGCCTTCTTGGCTGACGATTCTCCTGCGCAAAATTTAAGTTCAGCTAGTTGATCTCAAGCCATTTCATTATATCCTCTGCCTCTCTGTGTGTCTGCATTTGTATATTGAGGGGAAAAAATCAAGGAAGTGACCAATTGCAGATGTTAGCCATATGATCTTCCTGTGACATCAGTATGAAAGAGTCCAGCCTCAAAGCATAGAAAGTGAGGTCAGATATATTGAGTTTATTCTGACTCTTTGGTATTCTCAAATCGAACCTACCCTTCAGTGGATGGAATCAAGCCATAATCTCTCTGACCCAGGATTTCTGTATCTTAAGTATTTTTATAACGTGCCTTCTTGGTATTAAACAGCGCTGCTAAGGGAGATTTCTTTTTCCCCTTCCAGAATAGACCTTCCAAATAAATGAAGTCGTCTTTTATTAAAGAATTCAGGAATGCTGCTAAGCAGTATTTTTTTTTTTTAATGAAAGATGAAGAGAACTTTTCAATTTAATTGGTAATTAGGAAAGGCTTGAGATTTCAGCTAAATTTGAAGGGAGTATCGTAGCCCAATTACTTCAATGCGAATCTTGGAGTCTGAGTAATGTTTTCCGAATAAACTAGAGTGGGGCTTTAATTACACTGTTCTGATCGGAAACCCGACAAGAAGTTAAATCAAAACCCAATTGAGATAGAAGCAGCGTTTTCAGTTGTTTTCAGATTTGCATGCCCCTAGCAGCGTGCTGGATGTTAATTTCTGATGCAAAACGGAACAGCTTAAATCAGTGTTTCTCAACCTTGGCAAACTTGAAGATGTCCGGACTTCAACTCCCAGAATTNGCAATACTGCACCCTAACCACTGCGCCACCTCGGCTCTAAGGACCAAGGCTTCTTCTTTTAGCCCAATGTTTCTCAACCTTGGCAACTTGAAGATGTCCGGACTTCAACTCCCAGAATTCCCCAGCCAGCATACATACATACATACATACATACAACTTGGATTTGAAGTTCTGATGGCCATGTCCCCCAGTCACATGATCACATTTGGGGTGCTTGGCAATCAGCCGCATCCATGACTCTTTGCAGTGTCCAACAGTCATCTGATTGTGATTTACATTTTTTTTGCCAGAGACTTCTGGCTTCTGGTTAAAAAATGCACCCCTTGAGAACGATGGATTCATTTCATGACTACTGTGCTCACTTTATGACCTCTGCATTCACTTAAGAACCACTGGGGGGAAAAATTAAAATTAGGTCAATTGTGCAATGTGTGAGGATGATTAGAAAGATCATTCAAAGAATGATCTGATTCCTGTAACAAGCATTTCTTTCCTGATTATTTATCTATCCTGTTGTTTGTGTGACAAAGCTGGTTTGCAGTGGGTCCTAGTTTTTGAGATCCAATGTAAGCCGTAAAAACTTGGCTGCAAACCGTAAAAAATTGGCTGTTCCAGCAGGCATGGGGCTGTTGACCTCACTGTTGAGGTCCGGCCCCGACTAGAATGAATGGATGAGGGGTGTCTGTTGTTTTAAATTGTATTGTTGTTATGTGTTTTTTATATTTCTTGTAAGCCGCCCGGAGTCCTTCGGGATTGGGCGGCATATAAAAACTCCAAATAAATAAATAAAACTCCAAATGAATAAATAACACAACACTGTTTTAGTTGGGCTTAGTTACAAAAGGAAGCTTTTGTATGACATCAAGTTGTGCTTCATTGTCTAGGATTTAATGAAATTCCATAGTTAGTCTTGTTATGTTGGATGGGCGGCACAGTATTTTAACTTTATGAAAACATTGGTCGTGATGCTCACATATTTCATCTTTATGATCTGGATAAGTATAACCAGAGAGAGATATGATTAACGATAGAAAATGATTTCCTGTGTGAAATAAGATGGTTAAGAGCCAAAATAACCTTCCCTTAACTGCTTATAAAAAATAATTTAATTTCAGAAACCGATAACTCCTGCAAAATCTGTTGTCGGGATAAGTCTAAGAAATGCGTCCCTTATCGTGATGACGACCAGAACTTCTTATATTTGAGGAAGGGGAAGCCCTGCACTGTGGGGTTCTGTGACACGAATGTGAGTATGCGTAGAATGATCCGTGTGTATTCTCTTTTTATCCGTGGCACGACAAAACCGCGCTCCACTAAAGCGCACCCGATTAAACCGCATCGCTGATGTCATCAGCAGGGCGACAACA